ATGTATATATATACACATACTATACACATACACAGTTGGAGATGCATTTTATTGCACTGAAGGACGGCCAGATGCAGGACCTGTGGCTCTCCTGTGCCTTGGGGTGGAAGGGAGCCGTTCAGTTTTTTCGGACTAGGTCTCCGGGGCCTCTTTTGAGGGCCTTTTCAGTTGTTGACTCTAATCATGTAGTAAGTCTTTCCGTACAATAACCATTGTGCTCCCCATAAGTACCAAATGTCCAAATGGGTTAAGGTCAGGGGGTTGGGTGTCCTATCTATGGTTTTTTCCCCAAGTCTGAGGGTGCCCGGTTTCGGCTTTCTAGCGAGGCCTTGTTCGAGTTATGGATTCTTCATGGGGAGTGTAAGGGCTCTCCTCACAAACAAAGACGTGCCTGCTTTTGATTTCGGAGCAGCATCGAACGGCCCAGAGCCGAAACAGGCGATATTCTTTGACTCAGAGCCCACAGCAGCGCTAAAGCCTCATAGACCGTGGACCTTGGCCTTTTTAATAGTTAGCCGTTGACCTCCAAATCCACAAAAGGCCAAGAGAACACCGCACAACCCAGAACCCATAATAGTCTTGTAGACCCAAACCTCCTCTGGACTCCTCGACCGCTCGCAATGAAAATGAGCCCCCCCCCCCCCCCCCACTCTTTGAGGCCCTAAAGGTTCGACAGCCCGGGCGCAGCTTAGAGCTTTCGTCTCTTTGAGGCACAAGCCAGGAAGAGGGGACTTCGCCCTCCGCGAAGCGCCGGCGCCAAGCGACAGTGCCTTCCGAGCTCCCGGCCGAGCTTTGGCGGATGTCGATGTCTTTGATTCCAAACAGACTTGTTCATCCTCCCTTCACACTCATTCACCCATTCGTGGGATGAAGACGTACATGTAGAAGGGGGCAACTGGTGAAGTAGGTGCATGTAAGTTTATGTGTATATTTCTATATATATATATATATATATATATGTATATACAGGTCTTTGCACATCTGTTCGAACGGGTTGAGTGCAACACTATCTCTAGTAGTGCAGTGCACATCGGTTTAATCAAATCAGCCACAGTTTGAACATTCGTTTCATCAGTACCGCTGTTAACAATCTTTCTCGCCTTTCCGTCACTCGACTGTGCCTTGTTTTTGGCTGGGTTGCCCCCAAAGCTCAAACTTGTGCATCTCTTGCTTTTTGCCTAGACGAAAAGAGCAGCCTTTGCCAGATGGGCCGTGGGGGCCGCCTTTGGGCCGTGGCATTGCTTTGTCCGCTTTGTCCCCCGAGGACTGGGGCGTCGATGGCCGTGTGGCTTTGGACTTTGCGGGTCTGAGCGCCGGGGCGCGCGAGGTCTGCTTCGAGCGCTTGCGGAAGGCGGGAGCATGCGGGAGCGGGCGAGTTGCTTCTTCATTTCAGCCCTCTTTGGGTTTTGAGTCCCTTCCCTCGCGAAGACCGTCATGCTCGTCAGCATCAGTACTACCTCTGCAGCGAGCATGATGTTACTCCTGCTCATCCCCAAACCCTTCAGCTCACCTCGCCTAGCATCTTCATCACTTCATCTTCCTTTGGGAAATACACTTCTTTTACAGAGTGCTCCCAGGTTTTCGAAGAAGGCGCCAGGGTGCGCGACATCAACAGATACTGCTCCACGGTCATCAAGGCCGGGACTGCGAGAGGCTCCGGAAGCCTTGAACGGCCTGTAGGACCTTCCTCGGAGCCCATATATATAGGAACCCTACAAAGCCTAGAATCTAGAAGAGCCTCCTGAAGCCCCGTGCTGAGGGCGTCGGCGACAGCTTTGGGTCCGCTTTGCCTGCGGCCCTACGGGAGGCGTTGGAGGCGAAGCTCGCGGGCTCGGGTTGGAGCCTCGGCGCTCATTTTCGTAGCTCAATGCTTTTTCCGAAGGCATGTGGGGTTCAGGGCTCTTGACTTTCAGTGGCTACCTGCAAGCCACCCTTCGCAGAATCCCCAGATCCTTTTCAAGCACCCCGTCACAACACCTTTCTACCCCTACACATCCCTAAACCCTAAAACCCTATAGAAACCGAAACCCGCCCGAAGCCCTAAGCTTCTGGGAGTCCTCTTTCCAGGACTCTCGGGGACTTGGACTCCAGCGCCATCGGAGCCTTGGCCGGGCTGCCGGAGCCCGCGGCCCAGCAGCTCCTCGAGAGCCTCCGCCCCGCCTCGGTGTCGAATCTGCCCCTTCGGCGAGTCTTTTGTTGAGTTCGCTTGTGGCAAGGGCTGCTTTTGTGTATGGAGGAGTTTGCAACGGTTTTACAAGTGTTTGTACGAAGACCAAAGAAGTAAGGCACCGCAGCTTCCCTGTGATGCACCTATAACGAGAGTAGTTCCCAAGCCCCCAGGGATTAGCGTGCTTCGGGTGATTCCCAATGCCATCAGCAGGCTCTGAGCAATTTTTCAAGTAAAGGGTTCGTGTATTTGTTCGCTGCAACAACTAAGGCCAAAGCCTAGCAATCCGCAAATCTTGTCACAAGGTCCGCTTTCGTGTCCGGTGCAGCGAAGCGGCTGGGGGCCCAGTGCCCTTTGGCACAAGCTCTGGGCAAGGGCTGGCCGGCGGTGGCCAAGGTGCTGGCCAAGGCAAGGGAAGACACTGTCTAATCATAGGGACGTTCATGTTCCGGGGTCTAGACTGGTATCTAAATTTCCCACGAGAGCGGTGACGAGAGTTATCCTGTCGTTGTGGGGCGGATTCTTGCCGTTTTGGAAACCCATAATATGCAATAGAAAATACTTTTAATTTGATCTAATATATGTAATATGTACAGACATAATCAATGAGGAAGTCATAATATACATATAACAATACAATGTAATGTAATGCAATGTAACATAATATGACAGAGTAGAATAGAGTATGGATATAGGTGCATATATATATATATATGTGTATATGATATGATATGATATGTTATGATATGATATGATATGATATGATATGACATATGATGACATATGATATGATATGATATGATATGACGTGGTATATACTTTGGATCGGCGGTATTACAGAGAACGGAGATGCTTGGGGCGGCTACGGAGCAGTCGTGTTCTCATCTGCCACGCTGAAAGCTAAGCTCTATAGCAGAGATTGAGGGGTTGTGCCACCGCCGAAATACCTCAAAACGTCCTCTCATGCATAGCACGATGCTAAGGAATTTGAACATAAATGGATCCTTTCCAAAATGACTCCGGGCCCACCAGACAGGGGGTTTGAAGTCGAAGGATCCTACAAGGACCTCCTTAGAAGGGAACCCTCCACTCGCGACGAGGACCAGGCCGTGGGTGGCCAGGGGCTCGTCAAGGCCATCGCCCTCGCTTGCCAGCAGCAGACAGCTGAGGCTGTGGAAGCTTACCGGAAATTCCCGGAGAGCCTAATCTCTGTGCCTGCTTTCAAACTCATTGATTGCGAGTCATGTGGCTGTTTGGGTAACATCAATGGAGATGCCAATGTGGGGTTCCAGAAAAGTTGGCATTCCATCACCGCCGCCGTCACAAACGCTTCGACATCACTAGCGCCAGGACCGTCATCATAATCATCGCTGTCACAACTAGCCTTGTCCTGAGCATCCATATCCCGGTCAGCGATCATCTTCATTCTCGCTGCAGCAGATGATGGTGATGATGTTCATGGCGAGGATGAGAAGTTGCATTTGTTGCGCTACTTTCCAGTGCGGGGGCTGCTTCTTCTTTCTCTTCGCGTGTTCGTGTCGACATCAATGTCTCCACTATCACTCGCAAAAATATCAACTACAAAGAAATACGCATAGATAGACGCATACAGTAGCGGCAAGGGTGTTGAACTTAGGGAAAAGGAAGAAAACAAGACGACTGCGGAGAAGCTGAGTGCTTGCCTGCGACGCGCTGCAGGGGCTTCGGGCTCTCCCGGCTCAGCCGCCGTAGAGCTCTCCATCGTTTGGGTGCGTTGCGCCGTCGTCTCTTCTCCTCTTCTTTTCTCGGATTTCTTCAGGGCTGAGTCGATCGGGGCAGACTGGCCTGGAGGCCTTCGAGGCGGCCTGCGCGGCGCTGAGCCGCTTCCCAGCAGGCTGCAAGCCGCCCCTCTCGACCTACAACGCCATCTTCAAGGCCCGGGCCCCCTTCTTGCGCGTGGCGCGGGAGGGTGCTTCTGCCATCTGTTGACTCGGCTTGTGAGCGTGATGCCACCATCTTCTTCAGATCATGTTTCAGGGCTTCCTTTGCTGGACGAACTTCATTCACCCTGGTTACTGGCCTTCTGCCTCTTAGGGTCCGAGAGAGGAGTGTCTTGGGATCTGGTCCCGGGGACAAGGCGAGTGCATGGCACTTAGGTGCATCCGCCACTGGTGTGCAGCATCGCGTTTCCAAAACGTGAGAAGACTTAAGAGTAGACCCTGAGGAAACCTGGAGACCTCGAGCCCTAAACTCCCTAAACCCTGAACCGCCTGCCCGAAGAGGTTGCCGGCCGCGTGGGGCGATGGCCCAAGGCCCCTGGGGTGGATTCAGCCTTGGGGCCTGAGTTTGCCGTGCCGATCGGGCGAGTTGGGTAATGTGTGAAAGTATTCCGTAGGGCTCCTGAAATTAGCACATTGCGTACCCCAAAAGGAAGCCTTGAAAAGGGCGGCTATTCTCGCTGTCAAAGGCCCCTTTTTGCTACCGAAAGGCCTTGGAGCTTTTCAGCCAGCTGCCCGAGCACCTGCAGCCAAACCGCTACACCTACACGGCCCTCTTCGATGCAGTGGTCAAAGGCGGGCTTGACAAAGGCTTTGACGGGTCGGGAAATCTGGTTTCAGTTCAAAGATAACCAGAATCTTATAAATCATACTATATATATATATATATATATATTCATCTCCTCCCACCTTGGAGTTTTCCTTGCTTTCTGGGTGCCCAGACTCCAGAGAGAGACTCTCTCCTCTCCTCCCTTTTTGGGTTTTGGACTTGGCCTCAAGGCGGCGGTCCCGAGAGTGTGCTCTGGGCTCTCTGGAACCAGCTGCAGCGCAGCAAAGCGGAGGCGGATCTGCAGCTCATGAGCACCATGCTGCAAGGCGCAGAGGGCGGCGGGGCGCAGAGGGTATATGGGCTCTGGCTATGGGCCATGGGTTGAGACTCAGGCATAGCTTAGGTGGGGTTCTCATCACAATTATGTTGCCTATATATCACTTACGAAGTCCGCTGATCCTGTAAGTACAGATCTGCAGGTTCGGGTGTTGGGCAGAAGCTCGCCAATAGGGTTGCGGATCTCCTGACCCAGACGTAAATTAGCTTCCCTACCCCGAAAACATGAAGCCCCTAAACCCGAAACCCATATGCAAAACGAGGACCCGGACCCCTGTAGAAGCCTCAAAGGCACCCTTCAAACTGTCTGCAAAAGCCTGAAGCCTCCTTCCTGCGAGGCTGCTCGGACGCGTCCGTGGTGGAGGAGCTCTTGGGGGAGCTCGACTGGCAGGGGCTGACGCCCAACCTGGAGGCCTTTGAATGGTTGTGCAGTTTGGTATCACAGGGGTGACTGTATGAACGATGATACCTTTATTCTGGCTGTAGCTGCAGGGGCTTATATGTGCCAGCATCTGCGCACCCCCCCCCCCCCCCCCATCGTATCCCCCTCTGCTTCTCCCCCCCCCCCCCTGTGGTACCTGTGGTTCCTCTGCTTGTCTCCTTTCTCCCCCCCCCCCTGTGGTACCTCTGGTTCCTCTGCTTGTCTCCTTTTCTGCCTGCTTCTCGCCCCCCCCCTGTGGTACCTGTGCTTCCTCTGCTTCTCTCCTTTTGTCCGTCGTGTCTGCTTCCTCTGCTTTCCTTGCTTCTCTCCTTTTGTCCGTGGTTTGTGCTCCCTCAACCCAAAGCACATGGCCCAAACCCTTCTTGCCCAAGCAAAACATCGGATACCATATGTCATAGGGTGGCAAGGAAGGGGGAAAAATATAATATCTCATGGGGCGTGCCGGGGGGGGGGGGGATACCATTGGGGGGGGGGGGGGGTCGAGAACGCGGAACGCGGACACATAGCCGGCAGCTTTCTTTTGGTTTCTTGGTACTGCCCCCCCTTGTAATTTTATGTTTTGGTCTCCGAAGAGGTGCTCACGAGCATGCTCGGCTGCCTCCGACGCGCGGGCGCCGTGACGAACAAGACCTGGGAGGTTGCGAGGGACAGGTTTTGTGGTCGCCTACGAGATTTTGCCAGGGTTGTCAAAATTCAGAGGTCGTCAGGGGAGTGTTGTTTGGCGTGTTGGTCTGGAGTTGCTTCGCCCGCTCGACTTGAGCCCTCTGAACCCTCTCTTTAGGCTTCAGGGGTTCGTATGGGGTTTCTATGGGCCTTTAGGGGGTTTTTAGCGGCGGTTTCGGGTTCACAACTCCTCCGAGCTTCGGAGCGCTGCCTGCGCTTGGGAGGTGCTCAAGCTGGCCAAGAGCTGCGAGCTGAAATTGGATTGCCAGTTCCTCGTCCAGGCTCCGAAGCTCCCGGCCCGCCAGAAAGCATCCCATGGTGTGCTAGTACTAGTAGATAGTAGAAGTCGTCGTGGTGGTAGTAGTAGTAGTAGTAGTAGTAGTAGTAGAAGTAGTAGGTGGTGATAGTAGCTAATGCGCATAAGCACGCGGCAGCGCACTACGCCATTAAATCCTGAACCCTGACATCTGCAACGCCCTAGAACACTGGGGAGTAGAATCCCCAGTATCCCAAATCCGCCAGAACCGCACCCTGGACCCCAAACAGCCTTTAGGGGAACAGCTTTCTGCCAGGTGGTGACGGCGCTTGGCTTCGCGAACGATACAGGTGGGCACGTGTACTGTAGGATTATTTTTATTGGTCAGGGTTTCGTTCATTAAATCTGAAGCACTTCAGACCCAATTAAGACACTCGTAGTTATAATCATACCGTGGGAATGGGTTTAGTATGTGTCCCAGGGCACTTACGGCGTGTGCACCGTGGACTTCAGCATTGGTTTTGAAAACATGCTCTTGCTGGTCTTGCGAGCTTCGCCACAAGCTCAGGTGCCGTGGTTCTTCTCATGGAGAGTGTCCGCGAGGTCTACAAGGTGCCAAGATTCCAGAGAGGGTCGCTTTCTTCTGGCGACCTAGTAAGTACACAGGCAAACAAATAGGTTGAATGCACTCAGAGCTGGTTAGAACCGCAACTGACTACTCGCGATCCGTTCAAAGGCATAGATCCAGGGTGTTTAAGGTTACGGGTTCGGGGTGTGGATCTATGGTCGAAGCATTTTCTGGTGACGCCATGGCGAAGGCAGATTGCAAGGGTCGAATTCTTGATTCATGGTCACTACCTTGATGCTCTTCGGGCTCCTGCATGGGGCTGCCTTTGGACATGGTGGGCTAATCCTCAAGTCTGAATCTTGACATCCGGCTTACGCGAAAGCACGGCATACGTGCTTATCCGCTTATCACGCCAGTACCCGGCTCTAAGTACAGGAGCCTTTCCATGTTGGGGAGACTTAGACTCTTCGGTCCGGTGAGAAGCGCCATTGAAGGGATCACGTTGGCGTCAGAGGTGGAGCCCGACGTCTTCCTCTACACTGCCGCCATCGCGCAATGCGCCCGAGCCGGCGACGTCGCCGGCGCCGAGACCATCATAAGCCTGATGCAGAGAAGCGAGGCCGATCCGGTGGCGTCCGGCGGGTTCCCCTTTCAGGGTCCGGTCTAAGCTTAGGGGTTTAGGGTGCGGTGCGGCGTTTGATGCATGCGGCTCTCGGCGGCTTCTGAAGAAGGCTTTGATGCGTTCGCACAGGTGGAGCCCAACGAGCACACCCACTGCGCTATCATCGCGGTCTATAGTAAGGCTGGCAAACTGCTGGAGGCCGTCAGACATTTCCAGGAGGCCAACGAGAAGGCCGGGTGACCACCAAACTCCCATCCCTGCAAACTTACTTTCGGAACCCTACCCCAAGCGGCCCAACCCCCTGTGCAGCGCACCCAACACACCCACTGGGCGCTCGCCTTGAGGTGGCACTGCCTATCGAGGGCTACACGAGCATCCTCTCCGGCTGCCGGGCCGCCCTGGACAACCGCTGCGCGCTGCAGATCCTGAAGCTCGGCTTCGAAGAGACAGGGCCTCATAGACAAGGTGTGCAGAGGGTTTCAAGAGGGTTTAGGGTTTCAAAGGGTCTAGGGTGTAGGGTCGAACAAGTTTTTGTAACGACCCTAAGCCCTATATGCCTTGGCCTGAAGAGACCCTCAGTGCAGAGCCTTGAAATCATTGAAAGCCTAAAACCTAAACCACCCATAGTGGAGCCTGGCGGACCGGGCCCCTGTTCTTTAAAGGGCTTCCTTTAAAAGGCTTCCCTTTTCAACGGGCCCCTTCTTTAAAAGGTGGTGTCATTGTAGCAGTCATGATATATCGGTGCTCAATCATTCGAGTTGGATATTCGAGGTACTGTATGGTATCATAGCTTCGGCCGGCCAACGAGACTGAACCGTTTCTAGTCTTCTAGCACATGTCGAACAAAGCTGAACCACTTGCACATGTCGAACAAAGCTGCACCACTTGCAACAGACTCGACAAGATTGGAAAAGCCCAAGAAGTCCCCTCGAGATTCTCCGATACTCTTCGCCTGCGAAAGCTTGGAGATACGTCCGCGCATCCAGACAGAGACCCCAACCGCCAATATATGGGATCCTAGGGTTTTGTTGAGGAAGAGCCCTGAACCCCTGAGCCGAAACCCCTCAATCCACCTCCGAGCCCTGAGCCCTCATGCCTCTGGTAGCCCTAAACTCCTATGCCGCCATAGACCCGCATACGCCCTAAACCTCCCCAAGCTTGAAATCCAGTCTTTGCGGCCCCAGGAAGAAAGCCAGGCTCCAGGGCCCCGTGAAGTCTGCGTGCTACACGCTTGCCCGGCAGTTTCTCGGCACTGCTTTTTGCAGGCTCTTGAAGGGAACCTCTGCAAGAGAATCCTGTTTTTCTTCGGAACCCTGAATTGGTCGAGCGGCGTATACAGGAGGCTTCACCAGGTTTCCGAGGCCCTGTTGAGCCTAAGCCCTGGCAAAGGTCCTGCGCCTTAGCCGGGGACGAGGCCGGCGCCGCCAAAGTGGACAAGTGGCAGAAGCGAGACGGTGCCTCGGCCCAGAAAGCATGGAAACCCACCAGCCAGGGTCTCCTTGGGCTTGCCCGTGGACGTGCTTGTGTTTCTTCACGCCCTTCTTGTTCTCATATTGAAAACAACACCGGGAAGTTGAGAACAATCTAGTTTGTAGCATAAGATAGCCCTTATTCTGGGTCCCTGGTTCCGGGTTCCGTAGACAGCTAGACACAAAACACTTGCAGGCTTTAAATTAGTGCGAGAAGACTCCCTCTGCTCAGAATATCAATCCTGCAGGCTTCCGTGCAATCTGGAGCTTCAAGCCCGATTATGAAAATCCTCAAATCTCCCAGCCGCTGAAACCTAATATAAAGCTATGAAGCTTTACAAAAACCCTTCACAACGGTCGAACTTTAGATTCTGAAGCCCTGAAAAGGTGTGGTCACCCACGTCCCCACGAGCACAGTGGATGACCCTTCCACTGGGGAACGGCTGCCTTTCCAGGACAACCCGGTTTCTTACAGGGACTCAGGAAGGCTTCGTTGCGATCACAGGGGTTCCTACAAGGATTTAAGGTTTGGGGGCCATGTGCTTGTGGGTTTTTGGGGTTCGGGTTTCGGGTGTTGTGTTTTTGGGGTTTTAAAAGTTTAGGATCTGAGGCCCTCTACTCCACGTGGTTTGTCTGCCTCAGGGTTGCCATAAAAGTTCTCAAAGGGATTTAGGGGTTTGGGTTGTGTTGAGTTTAAGGGCTTTAGTCGTATCAATCAGTGTAAGCTTTCATAGAACGTGATCAAATCTTGCTAGAAAAGATCAACCCCAAACCCTAAAGAGTAACCCCTCTAACTGTTTTAGAAGCCCTAACAGAGCCCTTGAAGAAAGCCGCCTGCCAGCCCGGGAACGACGACGTGGCCGTGGCCGCCTGCGTGCAGCGGATGATGGGCCGCCTCAAGAGCGCTGGGTTCCTTGGGAGTCCTTTACAGTGGCTCCTTTGAGGGTTCTATAAGGAGGGTCGAGTTAGTTCACTGAAGGGTTCCTTTAAGGGTTTTAGCTGAAGGGTTCCTTTAAGGGTTCTAGGGTTTGGGGAGGGGTTTCCAGGGTCTGCACAAAACGCTGCCAGCACACGTGGCAGCGACTTGTAGGTTCACGGGTACCTGACTGGAAGGCTTTGGGAGAGGGATGAATAGGGACCTTTCACCCGGTTTTTTCTGAGCAAAGCAAGGTACGAGCCGCAGCTCTGGCAGTACGATCCGGAGATTTCCCAGGAGCTGATTGAAAGGTGCTGCAGGCATCTAGGAATCTAGGCGTCTTCTGTAGTTCTTTCTATGGCGTGTTAGAGTTGTTTCGAGCACAATGGAGGAGCTCCTCTAGGCATCTGAGCTCGGTATAGCTCGGTGCCGGAGTTTAGAACTTTGTGAGGCTGACGAAGATACTGACCTAAAGCCTGACCCTTCTTGGAAAATCCCAGCGCCCCGCCAGACCCCTGGGCCCCCAACAGCTTGCTTCCCAACCCGCCTCGGACGTCCGATATTCGAGGAGGAGCGCGAGGACCGGCTGCAGTTCCACACCGAGAAGAAGGCCCTGGCCTGGGCGCTGAAGCACTTTCCCAAGGTCGGGCGGGGGGGGGGGAGCTGCTGTGGGCTCATAGGGTTCAGGGACCAGGGGCTAGGGTTGAGGGTTTCCGGCTGCAGTTTCGGGTTTAGGGGAAGGTGCTAATTCGAGGTTGATTTTCGTGAGGATCTTAGGTTCGCAGTACCGGAGGAGTTTCGGATCTAAGAGGGAGCTGAGTCTTGCAAAACCGGCTGTGCACTGTCAAGCTTGGCCTCCTGATGTCGTTGAGAATTTGCGTATGAACGCTCCCGTCGTGTCATCCCCACCCTTTAAACAATGCCTTGTGCAGACTAGCATCAGCACGGCACTTTGCTTCAAGAGCTGCGCAGCACAATTTAGGGACCAAGAAAAGGCGTAGGCCAAGAGGTGTCGAGGCCGAGCACCCCATGTCAGCATCTTGCCTTCAAAGCTTATGTTTAACAGTGCCCTGTTTGCTCGAATTCCGGGCATCCGGCCAGGGCTCTAGCATCACGGTGCGGAAGACCATCCGGTGCTGCGTGGACTGCCACAACGCCTTCAAGGCGTCGCTAAGGGCCCCGGGCCTGGCTTCGGGGCTTTTGGGGCTCTGTGGCCGTGCTGTTGTGTTTGGGACGGTTGCATCGACGCTTAGCAGTGTTTCCAAGCGAGATCGTTGAAGCTTCGACGCCATGTCATGTCCCGAGGATAGCAAGACGGACCTGGCTCCAACGGAGGAACTTAGCGTTCAACTTCAAGATTCAAGCCCGTCACAAACAGACCCGCCCCCAGTGAGGCCCAGTTTTGAAAGCACGTTTTCGGGGCCTTTCGTGCATGTTTGAACCGTTCCGAGAAAAGGTGGCCTCGAAAGCCTATGGCCGAACCCTCCGGATCTTGGACCAGGCGGAGTGGTGTGAGCGTGTGGGTTGAAGGTGTAGGCCGGTTCAGGCTTCAAGGTTTTTAAGGTTTGTGGTTGAGAGTTTCGGATTGGGATTGGCTGAAAGGGGTCCAAGAAGCCCCGGGCCGACCGGAAACTCTCCTTGGGGGTTGCCCTTGGGGGGGGCCATCCCAACCTATCCCGGCCTATCCCCGCTGTCGGACTGTTTGCTGGCCGTTTCTCGAATTCTAAAGTCACTTGGGTGGTTTGCTTTCTGTTTTTCAAGCACACTCTGGTCCCTTTTGAGCGGTTTGCTCCTGTTCTACTCTAGTTCCTTTCGAACGGTTTGCTCGCTGTTTCTCGAACACCCTGGTTACTTAAGTGGTTTGCTCTCTGTTTCTCAAAAGTTCTAGTCCCTTTCGAGCGGTTACTCCCCGCTCCGACCCAAATTCATGCGTGCCACTGACTGCCATCATCAGGCCCGGTATTCTCACACGTACAAGGTGTGTTCAGGCTATCCAGTTTTATCTAGGTGTTGAGGGATGTGTTGGGGTCTGAAATGTGTTGTCTTTTTGGGGGAGCAGGGTCCCCGACCTTCCAAAGCATCAGTTTTAGGGCAGATCCTGACCCTGGCAGCGCCTGTCCATTCAACGCTTGGCGGTTCCCGCGCGGCGGAGGCTCCAGCCGCCACTGCCTCTCCCTGACTTATAGGTGGCTATCCGTTCATCCGTTTCGCCCCTGTCCCCGCTTCCCGGCGTTTTCACCTGCGACATCCGAGAACATGAAATGCAGGCACATCGAAAGGGTCTGGACTGCACGTTTCTCGAGGCGGACCCCGCCAGGTTTGATCCGATCATACTGGCGGCGACAACCATTCGATCGTATCCATGCTTAGGTGCAAGATGCTTCTGGAGATGCTGCCTCGCACCATGTACCGCATTTCCGAGTACACGCCCGAACGTTCATCCGAAGACAGTTCCCAGACGAATTTGAAGCCCCACCATGCATACCTCGTTGTTGTTGTTGTTGCACAAATCAGAGAGTTTAACAATCCCAGTATATCCCAGTTACCTCATGACGGCCAGCTGCCTGTTTCAGGTCCGTCAGCATGAATTCACCGCGGGCAAATGCTCCTGTGGTGATTGGTGGTGAGTGCTGTCATGAAGCCGAGAACGTTTCACTGGCGGTTGCTGCCCAGAACGCTGGAGCGCGCTGCCTTGGTTTGTAGGGTGTGTGAAGTCGGTAGGCAGTGATGATGCTTGGACGGTGTAGCGAGATGTAGGCCACGCTTAGTGGCCCAAGCGCAAAAGACGTCCTCTGCACCTGAAGTAGACGAGTTGCATCCTCAAGAGAACAGCCATCAGTCAGTCAACAGGTGCACAGTGATTTGCAGTTTGGTTAGGTAGGTCTCGCATATATATATATATATATATGCTGACGCCCCCCCCCATGATCCATACTATGCTTGCTTTTGGTAAGCAGTGGATCATGGGAGGTGGGCAGCTTCGGATGCTGAAACACTGCCAGGCTCGAAAATCCCCAAAATTCCTGAAGCCTGAAGTGCGAAAACACTGGCAGGGATCAAAAATCCCCAAAATCCCCAATATGTGAGAGACTATGGCCCCGCACTCCGCATAGTTGCCAGGATTTTGGGAATTTTGGGGATTTTTGATCCCTGCCAGTGTTTTCGCATTTCAGGCTTTACAAATTTTGGGATTTTCGAGCCTGGCGGCATTTCGTCAACGTCGGATGCTAAAACACTGCCAGGCTCGAAAATCCCCAAAATTCCTGAAGCCTGAAGTGCGAAAACACTGGCAGGGATCAAAAATCCCCAAAATCCCCAAAATGTGAGAGACTATGGCCCCGCACTCCGCATAGTTGCCAGGATTTTGGGAATTTTGGGGATTTTTGATCCCTGCCAGTGTTTTCGCATTTCAGGCTTTACAAATTTTGGGGATTTTCGAGCCTGGCGGCATTTCGTCAACGTCGGATGCTAAAACATTGCCAGGCTCGAAAATCCCCAAAGTTTTGCAAAACTAAACACCCATGGCCCCATAGATGCCACGATTTTGGGAATTTTGGGGATTTTTGATCCCTGCCGATGTTTTCGAATTTCAGGCTTTACAAATTTTGGGGATTTTCGAGCCAGGCGGCATTTGCTAACCTTGGATGCTGTGTTCCTATTATGTCTTTGTTTGTCACGTGTATACACACGGCATATGCTTTGTTTTAATGCCATGTCAAGGTGCGGTATGTTCCGCGACATATCCGTTGCAGTTCTCTCCCGAGTGAAAGTCATCGTTTGTGTCCCTCTTTTCCTCTTTTCCAGCATGATCCGCGACGGGGGTGACATATCCTTGCAAGATACTCTCGATGCCACCAATTCTTTGAGATATTGTATCAAAGCACACCACACCCGACGACAGTCTGTAAAGTAAAACATTTGCAGTAGATATACAACATATACTTTGACATGCCATGTACTGAGGACGCATGCACCAGACGCGCGGCACATGAGTTACGTGATAGTTTTGTGGAAGTATCGATATTAGGATGAGTACTGTTCTTAATAATATTAGTACTAGTGTTTGCTGTGATAGTATGCATGTCAGTATTAGTAAACATAAATTAGTGTCAGTGCTCATGCTCGTTTTAGAGTTAGCGCTAGTGCCAGTGTCAATGTCAGTAATACAGCACCACTGCTAGTATCAGTGTCAGTCTTAATGTTGGGCTTAACCGCAGCTTATATTCGCAGAAGTGCTAGTATTAGTATCAATACTAGAACTGCGAACGGACTGCGATGCCTTGTCAAGTTCTAAGGTGTCACTATAAGAGCTGTGAGCAAGACCGTGTAAAGTGCAGGAGAAGGGGGCACGCTACGCGTCCCTCGACTCTAGGGGGCATGCTACGCATCCCTCGTCTTTACCTTTCTATGTGACCGCCAACGCAACGTTTGGCTCAAGTCAATGCCCATAGCTAAGTGCTATATGTGTCTTCTATCCTGAGCAATCAGAGCTATCCCGTTGCACAGACGAACCGCCGCCGGCAGTGAGTGCAAAAGGAACGGCCGCCGGTTCTGCCTGCATAGGATCGCACGTGTGGAAGTACGAGAGAGAGACAGGGTCCAGTCTGTGGAGAGTGCTAGCCAGCCACACCTACATTCATTACAGCTCTGGTGGGGAGAGCAGCAACCAAGTCGAGATCAATCCCCCACGCAGGTTATCAGCCGTACGCGGCTCTGCCTTTCTACAGCAACGACTACTTGATCTACTACGACCACAATGAACTCAGGATCAAGCCAAGATACGACAATGACTTTCGGTGCCGATGTGGCAGCGCCAGCCGTTGGTGAGTCAACAGCTGATGACACAGTGGTGCAATCCGTTGATAGCTCCACGGAAGATGACAAAGGTCAATCTTCTGCGCTTGCCATTGCAAAGGCAGTTCCCAAGGGGAAAGCAAAGAGTCTACCAAGAGCATCTACGCCTTCACGTCCGACATCCACAGGTTCGAGGACGGGCAAGGCTCCAGAACGACGGGCCGAAGCGTCTGGTTTTCAGGCACCTCGGACTACGTCCAGGGCTAAGGACAAAGGAGTCAAGACCTTGGAGAAGAAGTCAAGACCATCATCTTCGAGAAGCTCTTCAGCACGATCGAGGACTTCGGCTACCCGTGGGCGTGACAAGTCCATGACTTGGAATCGGATGGTTACCAATCAACCACGCGATTCTGATGATCTGGACATGACTCTGGATACGATTCCTGCACGTGGTGATGCATCATCCGTGGCCACGCCTGCAATAGCTGACGGTCCGAATGCCTACCAGGAGCTGACGATTTCGCAACAGTTCGAAGCATCGAACCTTGCACAACAGATGTACTATCGCAGTCAGGTGCAAGAGTACGAAGGAATCGTCAGACCCTGATGGACAAGATCAAGGAGATGCAACAAGAAGATGAAGGATCTGGAATTCGCATTGAAGAATTGGAACGACAACGTGATCATGCTTGTTTAGCCATGAGGCACATCAACAATGTCAATCAGGAGATGAAGCGAGACTATGAAACAGCTTTGTTTCGCATGGATGAACAGAACTCTGCTCAACAACGTCAAGCACATGCCGTTGCCGAGGATTTAGCTCAACAGCTACACGTGTTCCGCACGGAGGCAGCCACCAACTTTGTGCAGTTGGAGGCAAGAGCGCAAGGCGATGGTGAGCTTATGGCACGTGAGTATGAGCGTCTGACTCATGAACTTCATGAACATGCCAGAGAGAACTTGGTCCTCCGGTCAAACACAGCAAGTTCGGAACAAGCCTTACAAGCAATGCAGGAACGATTCCACTTGGTCAAGAACCAGGAGTTGCGGGCCGTGAACGAGATCCAAGGGCTAGTTGGAAACAGCGCAGCCATTGAACAAGAACGATTTCGGCTTCGTGAACGTCTTGGTGAAGAGGAAGAGTACTGCAGAATGGCTGTGAAGAGGATGCAAGAAGCAGAGGAACGACTTCATCAGAATGAAGATCATGCAAGGCGATCATTGCCTACCTTGCACGACGAGCTGAGTGAACTCAGGAAAACGCTCAAAGCGCAAGAAGATCTTCAAGCGAGGACACGCAGCGAATTGGAGGCAGCGCGAAACTCTACTCAAAGGGAAGCGACGCGACCTTCGAGCATGCCCATGTCTTCGAGGACTACTGAGTCTGGCTGGGAGCACGTAGGAAAGGATGTAATGCCTGCATTTTCCGTAGGAGATGAGGTACGATCCCCTGAAATACGGTCCCCAAGTCAAGTTAGTCCAGTCGCCAAAGAGAAGTTCGCATTCTCGGAATCGGACAAGGACAAGAACCTTGTGATGGGCGGAATTCCATTCACCGGTGGAAATTTCTTCACTGGCCGCAGTTCAATGCCAATCGTGGCGGATGCAATGCCCGAGCACCACGTGCCAGGTATTAGCAGTCCAGCGCTTGCGCGTTCCACGCCTAGTGCAGCCACGTTGTTTGGCATACCAAGCGGATTTCATGGGAAAAGTGATGCGGCAGCCGTGCGTGAT